CTTCTCCTTTTTCTTTCTTTCTCCTTTTTTCTTTTTCCCCCCCTTTTTTCCTCTTTTCCTTTCCCTCCGTTTTTTGAGTTTTGGATTTCCCGTTTTGAGTAATACAGAACGGGCAAGACTACAGGATTTAGGCGGGCTCACGATATTTTGAGATTAATCGGCGGTACAGTGACGCAATTTCTCGGATCTGAGGAGATTTTCATGTGGGGTCGTATCCAGAGTGACGGACTTAGAAAAAAAGGCCGTATTCATAGCGTTTGGCATGGGCTCGCTTCTGCATGATTGACAGGGCGGCGGTACTTCGGAATAGCTCCTTTGAGCGGCTTGGAACAAGGCGAATGATCAGCGCATCGTGACCGTCTTCGCGGATCGGGATGAAAGGTTGGATAACACCAGTTGTACGGTTTTGTAAGTGGGTAGGCAAGATAGCGACAACACTGATCTGTGGATGTGCCTTATTTCAGTGTGCTAGTGGAAGTCGGTGGCGCCTAGAAGTTCGTATCTATGTCCTGTTCGATCGTAGTTAGTGGGGGATGTCGGGGAGCAATTTTAGAGATATTGAGTTAGATAGGCAGTGGGCAGAACTACAGAGGTTAATCCAGTACCAGCTTACACCGTTAGTCTTCGTTGTTTTGGAGTTTCCGGATCTGGGGACGAAGGACGAATTGTTTTCATTATTTAAGGACGTGTTAGGTAGGGTGTATAGTATTGGCTGCATCGTAAGGGACAGGAGGAGGAGAAGGAGGAGGGAAGAAACGAGAAGGGCGAATGGCTAACCAGCTGCCATTTAACGGAGGTCCTCAGCAAGGATATGCGGGCAGTATGATCAACCAGCCTGGAGCTGTGTCGTGCTATCTCTGCGGGAAGATCGGGCACTATGCCCGGAATTGTTGGAGCGCAGGCAACGGGAGACCTCCGTCTAATCCGGCCCAGACTCCAGTGCCAGCTCAGAACGATGAAGTTACAACTGAAATGCGGGAATATTTCCGGAAGAAGATCCGAAAGCAGAAGTTGGAAGAAGAAAGGAGAGAAGTGGAAATGGAAGATAGCAAAAAGAAGGAAGAGGAGGAAAGAAGAGAAGCGGATAGGCTGAGAGAAGCTGACGCACGTGAGGCTCGTCTCGAGTCGAGACTGATTCGGCTAATGTCGCAGCATATAAAGACCTCGAGCGGACCGGCGTTACCAATCAAGAAAAAGTCACCTACCACGAAAGCGAGAGTATTGAAGGAGATCACCAGCTACCTAGAAGAATCGAAAGATGAGAGTGAAGAAGTGAAACAGGAAGCAGCGAGACTGATCGACGCTATCGAAAAAAGGAAAAGTAAGAAGAAGAAGGAGAGTTTGGAGTTGAGGATGTCGAGGGCTCCTCCTCGAAGAGGTACTCAGCCAACACCGATTATGGTAGATGAGTTGGCGGAGGAGGTACGTACTCCTCCGAGAAACCGGGGGGCGGGAGATATTTTGGATTATGCCTTGGATCTGCATCGGAAATTTTTGGCAAAAAAGGTTCCCGAATTGAAGGAATTGTGCAATTCTGAAGGCATCGAATGGACGAAACGCGATACGGTGATCGGAGAGCTCGTAAAATGCCGTATGAAATTGGTCTACGAAAGTGAGGCGGCGCACCTCTCACCTCTAAGCGGAAGGTAAGCGGGACAGTATGGAGTACTCGCGGCAGCTCATGAGGCTGATGAAGCTCCGAGGGAGACAGTACTTCGAGCAGCAGCACGTTATGGATCTCGATTGTGAGGATAAGATTCTCCGGATGTTTCTTTTAGCAGTCTTGCAAGGGAATTTTCCATGGGCTAAGAAATGGCTTGTTTGGGTGGATGCCGAGAACGGGAATTTGTCAATCATAGACTCGGGAGTGTATGTACTCGTAAGTCCTTGGTGCCGTTATACTTACATAGGATGTACTACGCGAAGGATCAGGGTTAGATGGCGGGAGCACGTAAAAAGACCCACGGAAGGGAATCTGGGTAACGCCCCTAAGCTACATGCTTGGTTGAGGACATTCGGTTGGTACAAGTATTTAGTTGTCCCGATAGCAGCGAATGTCTCGGATCCCGTTGGGATTGAAAGGTTTCTGATTGGTAGATACTGTCCAGCTTTGAATACTCACGGAAGGGCATCGGGAGGTATGAAGAAGAAGAGGAGAGGCAAGCGGGAAAGGGGGAGGAGGCGAATTTTTGAGCGATCTCGGAAGGTGATTTTATTCAATGGGAACGTGTCGATCGTCGATACGATCAAAGCTTTGAGCATTGGGCAACAGGTGGTATCAAGTGGTAGGGACGTGTGGGCAGATAGGTGGAAGATAGTGAGGATGAAGTTAGGAGAATGTGTGATCTCAGTGGCCGGTGTGAGGATGAAGATCAGAGATGCGAAATGAAGGATCGAAGAGGGAGGAGTTTTCGTACTAGAACGTTTACGACTAATATCGTCAAGAGTGGAACATAGGCGTTACGTTCTGCGGGATCTGCTACGACTTCCATGGAGGATCAATGAGGTATATAAGAAAAGCTCGGCGGAGCTTCTTGCGCTGTATAGGACAGCTGGCCTTTTTGGGCATGTGAAGACGAGGAACACGCTCAAGAACGTTTTGTCGAAGGTTATTCGAGCGCAGTACGGGATCGAAGTAAGAACGAAACCGTACGTAAAGCTACCCATTCGCCTCGAACGTCAGCAGCAGAAAAGTTCGGATTCTGGCAGCAACGTTTTTGCGCAAGGCGATCCTCGATCCGGATATGGCCGCCTTCGTGGCGCAACGGGTGCAGATAGTGTTCATGAAGAGAGTTTTGGTGGTTGCGATTATGCATAACCAATGGAGATGCGCTATGGGTGACTCATGTGCTTGTACATGCGCAAGTTATGTTCTTTCGACGGAAGGTGGGCACGTCAAGGCAAGGTTGGATGACGTCCAGGGTTTCCCCACTTTTATGAAGAACTCACGGAACGTCACGACAGGGCACGATTTGTCAGTTGAACACCTGCGGCAGTGCATCAAGGTATCCTTGAAGACGTGGACCCGAGGCTCTAACGCTGGTCTGGACAAGTCAGAGCTGCTACAATGTCTGGTCAGTCGTGAAGTCGGGAAGCCCCAGGCTATGACAGCGAGCGAAGCTTCAAGATGGATTGACACCTTCGAAAGTTTGGTGAGGGTACCGATAGATCGGAATCCAGGCGCAACTTTGCTGATCTGCCCTGTTGTGTACTTACATGCGTGCAAAATGACGTTCAATTATAACCACAGTTTTGTGAACGTCAAGGAGTCCGATTCTCAGATAATGACGAAGATGAAAGGTGAGTACAGGCGGATGGGGCTTGAAAGCGTGGCGATGTGGGGGACGGGTGGGAAGATTGGGCAGGCCTATGTCCTTCCTAAAGACAAGGATTTGGGAAGGTGGAGACCCATCTCTCCCGCAGTACATGATCCGGCGAGGTTGGCCGGGGTGAGGATAGGTCGAGCAATTCGATATATGTTGCTGGGTCTGAGTACAACTTGCCATTTTGATCTTAAATCCACGGACTTGCTGCGAGATAGATCGGAGCAGATACAAGCTTATATGAGGAGGAGGGGAGGCGATGTCATCGCAAGGAGCTACAACATAAAAGACATGTTTGCCAGACTATCACACGATGTGGTTCTCGAGGCGGTACGTCTGCTAATTGAGTACCATGTCCGTCGGGGAATGTTGGGTGTGCAGGTAAGCCGGAAGGGGAAGATTTGCTCCATGGCCCTGGTTTAGAAGGAAGCAGGAGGGGTTCGTATTGGTAACGTTTGGCTTGATTGAGCGAGGGGTGTCATATGAGCTCGACAACACGTACATAATTTGCGCGGGCGAATACCTGAAGCAGCAGTTTGGTATCCTGATGGGACGGAGTTCCAGCCCGGCAATAGCCTGCCTTGTGTGTGCAAAGGCGGAAAGCGACTTCCTCAGCAGTTTGGGGAATGATGCATGTCTGGTAAAAGGCGTCCGAATGATCGACGACGTCTCGATCTTTGTCTCCTGCAGGATGCAGCACCACATGTCGATGGATAAAGCATCACAGATCCTGGGACGGTTTGAGAATTGCTACGATCGTAATCTGAAGTTGGTAAGAAAGGATGAAGGAAGCAATTCGTTTGGGCACTCGCTTTGTCGTTTCTCTTGACCCTCTAACATTTCACATCTTCCCTCGGTCGAGGAACCAAGTTTCCTTGTTGAAGGAATGACGGGTCCGGGTACATTCCATGCAAGATTTCTCTTCCTTCACAAGGAAGGCAACAAAGAAAGCGAGTCTGTATGCAAGTTTTTTGAGGTTCCGTAGGCTCGCAACGTGTGAAGACTCGGCTCTGGCAGCAATTACGGCTACCACCTTCGAAGCTCGCCTCTGGGGGTACCCCCCGGAGGTCTCTCTCGGTTCTCTGGCGAAGTTTGCTAGAGTGGCTGGCGGTTCTTGGGAAAATATCCTTTCCCAGGCGTACCCCGGCCTCACGAGGTTTCTGTGAAGTGCTTTTGAGGTAGATGCACCATTTCCGCTTCGATCCCTCCCTTTTCCTTTTTTTTTTTTTTTTTTTTTTTTTTTTTTTTTTTTTTTTTTTTTTTTTTTTTTTTTTTTTTTTTTTTTTTTTTTTT